AAAGTGCACAAGCTTCAAACTTCAGCGTTGGCTGCGATTTTGAAGCTGAAATCGCGTTCGGTGTGAACGCACCATAACAGTCAAGCACAAAAATCAATTTATTTAAAATAATTTCACATCTGTACAGTGAGTGTGAGTATATTGTTGTTGTTCAATTAAAAATACTTTATTGATCACAAAAGTAAATTATATAATATAATAGTAGTTCAAATGTATGTATTTTAGTTTAGCTATGCTCCCCAGTGTAGGTAAGGACATAGAGTGTGTAAATAAATAACGCACCATTGTGACACATTCGTTTGAAGACGTGGTTCTGCASGTTTGTCATTCTGAGTGTCTTGCACTGGGTCAGACTCTMGCTCGTACATSTAAGGCTGGATTGACAAGTCTACTGTTGTTGACATACTTAATTCTTTCTTGCCGTCTGCCATTACTAATAAGCACCTTCATATACATTCATTTTTGTACTGTACTTTACGGTGTGAATATGTATAAAAATAAGCATATGTGTTTATGTATATGTAAAAATGTGCATTGGTACATTACTATATATCACATGCGTATATTGTGGGGTTTTGTTTGTTATCTTTTATTAATCTTTCATTATTCTTCTCAGCCTCTCTTGTATTAAGCTGCAGTAATGTGCAAATTTCCAGACTGTGGGATCAATAAAGTTTTATCTTATCTTATTTTATCTTAAAAACAGTTTTTAGTCGGTAGATAACTAAGTTCTTGCTATGAAACTACAAATATGGCTGAACGGGGTGGAGTCGAATGCTCAGGGACCTGGAGGGGGCGGGGTGTGAAATATCTCATTTGTATTTAAAGAGACCGCACCAAAACAGCTTGCTCTGAGGCGCAACTCAGAACAGGGGTAAAACAAGGAAAGCAAGGAGTCTGTGGAGCAACAAAAATGAGGAATTAAGACCAAAACGTTGCAGTTTTATTTTAAATAGACCATAAGTGAATGATTTAGACGTGAAAAAGAAAGATTTAAAGGATGATATGATACCTTTAAGCAGTTTTCTTACTGTTCTGGCATAATATTTCACTAAATTTAAGAAGATTCAGACTACAATCTAGTATACAGTATTTAACTTATTTTTAGATGGCTAATTTTTGGAGAAGGTGGTCTCTGCAGTCACTAAGTGGGGGTTTCTTGGATGTTTGCGTAGTTTGAGTAAACCATGATTGGTGAGATTGACAAGTGAGGGAAATTTAAAAATGAAGTAATGGTAAAGTTATTGTGAACATGTAAACATAATTTATTGGCTTGAAAGTTTGTGCTTGAGTTATGGGTAATATTAATATTCCTATTCAAAAATAGCGCCTCCAAATGTACGGCATTCAAATTTAATTCATTCTATTTTGTTGTACAGGCTTGAGCAATGACAATAAAGACCTATTCTATTCTATTCTATTCTATTCTATTCTATTCTATTCTYTTCTGTTCTGTTCTGTTCTGTTCTGTTCTGTTCTGTTCTATTCTKTTAATTAAGTCAATTACAGCTTGATTTTTGGCAGATTTAGCAATGTGTTTTGTTTACACTGAATAAGGACCTACATTTCAGAATTTCATTCAGTATATTCATCATTCAAAATCTGGAGTAAATTATTTCAGAGTACACCATTTGATATAGTTTGGGATGAGATATTTTACAAATGATTTAATTTTTTGAAGTGAAACACTACAACCAAACTATATCTTAAATGTGCAGAATCAAAACAAACTGTCCACAGCAGCATAGAAAAGAAAGATTCTTGCAGCTTCTTGATCTCTGCATCAACAGGTCCCGTTGTGGTTACATGAAGAGATGCCTTTGATTCAGACAAAAATACTATATCCACACGAGACCCTACAAGTTCTCCTGGAAAACTTACTCAAGCTTCCCTCCAAATACCCTAAAGGCAACTTAACTTATATTTAGTTTGTTTACTCCATTTTATATAACATTTAATGTCAAATAAATCCTTATTATATCTGTCTGAAGCATCTTTCATTTATTTTTATTGCTCCTTACTGTTTGTTGACAAGAAAAATCCTGGCATTGTGCTTGTCTATGTTCAGTTGGACGCCTGTAAATTTCCCATGGTTTCTGACATGACCTTGGTTCAAAATAAGGAGCTTCACAGAGAAAGCAGAAGCCAGTAAAACTGAACAATATTCAACAACAATATGGCTTAATCCATTCCATTAAATCATCCAAGGTGTGCAAAATGAAAAGCTTCAAATCCAGAGTTTGATAGGACACAAGTTTGACTCCAGTGAAACTGAGCTGTTGCACTTTTATCAGAAAAAAATAAAGCTTAGATAAAAAAAAAACAGATTTTTAGGGGTTCTATTGCCACATATTATAATGAGGTGTGTTACATTTCAGTCGTAAATTATTTCTCATTGGTTCTTTACTGGAAAATGACAGTAACTCAGTGAAATGGCCCGTGTTACAACCGTAGCTCGATCTGAACTTGCTGAGTGTTGTGCTCTGTCTGTCCCCCAGCTGCGAGCTCACGCAGTGGACATGAACGGAAACCAGGTTGAGAACCCCATCGACCTCTACATCTTCGTCATAGACATGAATGACAACAGACCAGAGTTCAAAAACCAGGTCTACAATGGCTCTGTGGATGAAGGCTCCAAACCAGGTAATGAAGACGAGTACCAATAGTTTGACAGGTGGACAAAACAAAACCCAGCAACATCGAAACTGGAGCAATTCAGCGTGACAAGTTTAGAAATAGGTGAACAGAAGGAAAAGCATGTCGTTGAAACTTGAATGGACACAGGAAATAATGCTTTTTTTTCTTCACTGAGTCAACAGACGAAAAATCTGTCTTTTTCACTGGCTTTTCATGTAGCCAAGTACAGCAATGGCCATAAACCAAAGAGGGTCCTCATGCTGGAGAAGAGATTGAGGATTAAATGGACCACAGTGTAGCACCACTGGGTCATTTTATATGTAACCTCAGAGTGGAAGAATTAGAGATGAGCTCTGCGTGTAGGCTTTTGTGAGTTTGAGCCTGATGAGCCAGTGTTTATAGCACCAGAGGTGATCTCTAAAGGTATACAGGTGCTCATTTCTTTTTTGGTATTTTACGCTTCCTTTATTTTTTTTCTTCTTCTTTGTTGGTTTTACTTTTTTCCATATTGTGTCATAGTTTTACCCCCAGCCCTTAGCCCTGCCCCACACAACACATACGAGTCTCTGTGGCATGCATGACATTAAGCTGAACAATAATCATAAAAAAGAGACTTTTAGAGTTTAGAGCTCCAGTGGTTTCAAAGGAAGGCCAATTACAGACTTGAATTAGTTTGCAAATTAAAGAGTCATTATGGGGACGTAATCCTGTCAGGCACAGCTTAGGACGCCTGTACAAAGGGTCCACATTAAACCCCCTATGAGTAGAGCTTAATGAAATTACCCCAGTGATGTGTGACACATTGTGATTCTTCATCTCCTTCTTTGTATCCCTTCATCATCAAAAAAAAAAACTATTGGGTGGAGGACCGAAAGCCATTCCGCCTGGAATCAAACCAGACATGCAGTGTGTCCTCTGTTGGTCTCTTTTGCTTTCACATCTCCTTTCATAACAGTCTTTTTCTCTTTCTGTCTCTCTCTGTCTCTCTCTGTCTCTCTCTCTCTTTCTCTCTCTCGTCTCACTGAGAGGGCTTTAGAGTGCTCCCTCTGGCCGAGTCATTGACAAATGTTGCTTTGAAATGTAATGAAGTTTGAAATGGGAGCTGCGGTTACAATTATCCTCGGACAGGGGCTGTCACTGGCGTGATATCGCTATCTCCAGCAATTAGAATCAACTAGCAGAAAGAGAGAGAAAGAGATGGAGAGATTGGGTGACAGGCAGTGATCCCACAGAGTTTTATGAGTGTGTGGAGGCTGGAAAGCAAACAAGTGGAGCATTCATAAAAGGACAGCAGCTTTTTTTTTCTCTCCACAGAAGATATGTGTGTTCATCAGGAGAATGTTCATTCACATTAGCAACTAAAGTACTATTTAAACAAAAAGTAATGACATGGATTCTATCTGCATGTTTTCACCACATTTAACAGTTAATTACTTGTTTGTGTTGCTTTTTGCAGCACTGGCAAACTGACAGGAAGAGCTCCCGGTGGCGTATTTGACATGAGGCACATACGTGAAGTGATTCGTGTCACTTTAAAGCATCACTTTCACATTTTGAAACATTTGCGTGTGATCTTGCACTTTCATGAAAAAAAGACTCATAGTTGGTTTGGTAAACAGCACAGCTTGCTTCCTCTCTGCTACAGCTATGGGAGGTTGTTATGCATATTTTCACAACCAAAAATCACAGAGGAAAAACACCAGTTGTTTTATAATTCTAACAAGCATGAATGTGATTAATTAGATTAAGTAGACACAGTCAATAATTCCAAGATCATTTTCTAAGAATGCTAACCTTTACTCTCAGTGCTTTTTGAGCAAGAAGAGCCTTAAGAGGTTAGGTGAGGTGCTACAATAAACAAAAACATTTTACACAATGCTGGTCCTCTTCAATTCCTTAGCAATTAAGGAATCAATGCGTTGAATTTTTTTCACTCTGCACCCTTTTCATTCATGGCATGATTTACTTTTAAGTTTTATTTTACTGCATGTTTGGTTTGTTTGTTTTTTATGAATGAACAAAAAACCTGAATAAACAATCAAGAGTGAACCTGTGAATTGTAACAGTTACATTCTAAAACAAGATCAAAAATACTGCATGTCAGAACAATCCTGTGGGAAGGCTCCACGTTATCAAAATTATGTACTGTGGGAGACATTTTTCCATTTATTAGAAATCTAATATTTGTACAAAGTTAGTATTTAGTGGAAACATGACCAACTAGAGTGACATAACATGTTTAGCTCCTCAAAAACAAAAGCCTCCAAGTGAAAGTAGTACATAGTTTGGTTGAAACAGATAAAGCAGTTCTGTCTGTGTTCCAAGAAAATACTGAAAAGTACTAAAATTACATGGTAAGAAGGCTCCATGGCATAGAACCCTGAAAACCTTTTTTAAGTATAGGGTGAGTCAAAACTCACAAGACACCCTGTGAGTCCCAAGACTCAGGACATCCATATATTTTAGAAAGAAAAGGGAACATAATATATCTGAATAACCCAGCAACTAATGGGTGAGGGGGCCCACCATTTGAAAACCTTGGCCTTCATCAAATATGATGGCTTTTGAGATAGCAGCCTTACTGAGCCTAAATTATAGGCATCCTCACCCATTGTTGGGGTATTCAGATAATCTTATTTTCCCTTTTTGTTTCTAAAATAAGAGGGTGTCATGTGACTTTTGACTCACCCTACCCCATTTACCTTGATTTTAACTGAAGTGACTATTTTTTCAGATTTTTTATTTCGAACAATTAAAAAAAAACAATAATAATAAAATAGTAAAATAAAACATACATATGCATACGTGTAACAAATACAGGGCAAAAAAACACAACAAAAATAAATAATAAAGCATTGATTACAACATTAAATTTCCAGCAGAATATAGTGTAAAACAAAACTCGTGTTCGAAAAGGGAACAGGAAGAAGTAATAGCAATGAAGCTATATACTGTATGTACACTCACCGGRCACTTTATTAGGTACACCACGCTAGTAACGGGTTGGACCCCCTTTTGCCTTCAGAACTGCCTCAATTCTTCYTGGCATAGATTCAACAAGGTGCTGGAAGCATTCCTCAGAGATTTTGGTCCATATTGACATGATGGCATCACACAGTTGCCGCAGATTTGTCGGCTGCACATCCATGATGCGAATCTCCCGTTCCACCACATCCCAAAGATGCTCTATTGGATTGAGATCTGGTGACTGTGGAGGCCATTTGAGTACAGTGAACTCATTGTCATGTTCAAGAAACCAGTCTGAGATGATTCCAGCTTTATGACATGGCGCATTATCCTGCTGAAAGTAGCCATCAGATGTTGGGTACATTGTGGTCATAAAGGGATGGACACAGTCAGCAACAATACTCAGGTAGGCTGTGGCGTTGCAACGATGCTCAATTGGTACCAAGGGGCCCAAAGAGTGCCAAGAAAAGATTCCCCACACCATGACACCACCACCACCAGCCTGAACCGTTGATACAAGGCAGGATGGATCCATGCTTTCATGTTGTTGACGCCAAATTCTGGCCCTACCATCCGAATGTCGCAGCAGAAATCGAGACTCATCAGACCAGGCAACGTTTTTCCAATCTTCTCTTGTCCAATTTCGATGAGCTTGTGCAAATTGTAGCCTCAGTTTCCTGTTCTTAGCTGAAAGGAGTGGCACCCGGTGTGGTCTTCTGCTGCTGAAGCCCATCTGCCTCAAAGTTCGACGTACTGTGCGTTCAGAGATGCTCTTCTGCCTACCTCGGTTGTAACGGGTGGTTATTTGAGTCACTGTTGCCTTTCTATCAGCTCAAACCAGTCTGCCCATTCTCCTCTGACCTTTGGCATCAACAAGGCATTTCCGCCCACAGGACTGCCGCTCACTGGATGTTTTTTCTTTTTCGGACCATTCTCTGTAAACCCTAGAGATGGTTGTGCGTGAAAATCCCAGTAGATCAGCAGTTTCTGAAATACTCAGACCAGCCCTTCTGGCACCAACAACCATGCCACGTTCAAAGGCACTCAAATCACCTTTCTTCCCCATACTGATGCTCGGTTTGAACTGCAGGAGATTGTCTTGACCATGTCTACATGCCTAAATGCACTGAGTTGCCGCCYTGTGATTGGCTGATTAGAAATTAAGTGTTAACGAGCAGTTGGACAGGTGTACCTAATAAAGTGGCCGGTGAGTGTATGTAGCTATAAAAAATGTGATCAAATCGTTATGGGACATGAGATATTTGTACTTTTGTACACTAGATTTGTAGACTAGATTACAAGCAATTTATGGTGACTAAAGTACACCTACAACTTTGATGTAAATGTTGACCATGCTTTTCTACCACAGGAACTTACGTGATGCATCTGTCAGCATTTGATGCTGACGACAACACCACGGCTAATGGCATGGTGCGCTATCGAATCCTGTCCCAGACCCCACACAGTCCTATCCCCAACATGTTCACCATCAACAGTGAGACGGGGGATATTGGGACAGTAGCACCTGGACTTGATAGAGAGGTTAGTCTTTTATATTTCACACTTCACAAAAAGCAATGTGACAGTAAGTAAATAAGAGTTTTAAAACCTGTGAATCTCTTTGGCAGGCTAAGCATCTGAAACAGATCTTTATTTTTCTTTATGGAGCACAGTTCCTAGCATCATTGTTTCCTCTGATGACACTTTGAGCTGCTACTTTTAAATCTGCCATTGCCATTTGTCACAACACATTTTTTCCCCAAGCACATACACACAAACATCAGGTCTTCATTTTTATTTTTTTTTTTGTTTTTTTACAGTGAATTGTCTCCGGTCACCTTGTTTATAAAGCTCTAAAAGTTGTGACAAGATCCAAATGTGTTTATTCTCACAACATGGATGTGCCAGTGACAACTCCGCAAAGAAATCTGCGAAACAGATCATCCTCCCAAACTGTCACTTGTGACAGACCTATTAACAACACATCACGCTGCAGTGGGCTGCTCGTGTTGAGTTGTGTACGCCTGCATGTGTTTGTGTAGCAGAGACAGAGAGGAAATTTTTTGAGATAGAATGCCCTTGACACCTGTCAGACAAAACACAAAAGCCCAAATAATCACATCTGTGCTCAATAAAACACAAGCAATGGATGGGGCGGGGAGGAAGAGGAAACAGATGAGAAGCAAGGGAACAAAATCTGAGGTGAATATATGGGAAATGCTGTGATGAGAGAAGAAGCGTGAATGTGGGCTAAAGGAAATAGGGTGATGGAGACAGAGAGGATGAGACATGAGCCTGCCAGAGGCAGAGGTATGAGGGCAACACGGACTAAAAATTACTCAGCCAAACCTCTTCAGCTTATTTTTACTCTGTTTTATCTGCAGTCTACTAATCCAAGCAATAACACTAAAATGTTGAATTAAAATCCTGCTTGCCTTTTTTTCTGTACTTCAAAGAATTCCTACTGATAGACCTTTTCTCTCCTGCCTGTATCATTTTATTACAACAATCATTTTCTAGGTTATACAGTCTTTGATCAATGTTTCTTTTTTAAGAGAGAAATTCGTATTTTTTATCACTTAACAGCATAACTTTTCCCCTTCCTGCTTTCTGAAACAAGCTCTAGACAAAGCTTCAATTTGAACAAATAAAGCATCACTTATCAACTTGACCATATTGACTGGCTAATTTTCTCACCAAATTTACATGCTAAGATCTCGGTATGGGTCAGATGAAGGTGCTTTAATGGTTTTGAAGTCCTGTCAGAGACCTACGAACAGATGTCATCACCTGAATAACGTCTTGACTGCACGTTCATATGGGTGGGAATGTGGCCGAGCGATCTTGGAGAAAAGTAAAAGCACGTTTAAAAGCCTGCTTCTCTAACCCCCTTGACCCTTTTTACAGTCTCAACTAGATCAGAGCATCTTCAAACTGGCAGATCTTGTGAGATTCTGCTCTAATGTAGTGGCTATTATTGACCTTAAGTGGGCTAAGGAGGGACAGCCGATCAATTTGACTCGGGGTCATGGAAACTCAACTCTCAGTGATGTGCTCTGGGAACCATAGCTGGTGGTTTATTATAGCAAAAGAGCTACTGAGGCACAAATTACTAAACCATGATGGCCTAACTTTGGTGAACTTTGACTGCTGTGTTCTTAAAAAGCGAACCGTTGAGGATTATTTGGACATTAGTCATTGAAGTAAGGGTTTTGGGGGCATGGTGGCACCATTCTCTTTAAAAAGCTCCTCATTGCCGGCTATGGTTGATTATCTGCTGGAGTCCAAAGTTTGATGAATAAGAGCCGTATTGGAAGCACAAAACAATGTCCAAAGCGTGAAGTAGTTTGAATGTTTTCTGTTTTTTGTCAGGTTGTTATATTTTTAATCCATTTTTACAAATTCATATTTGCTTTGTCTTGATAGCAGATTGAAGATATCAATCCTTGCAGTGGAAAAGAAAAAAAGTCTAGTGAGCAGTTCTTCCTTGGAAAATGCTTCTCAGCATCTCGCAATGTTTTATGATCCTAGAGGCTTTGAATGTTTTGGTGTCATGCCTCAAATTTTGGTCTGAGGTGTTAAAGGGGATATATGCCACCTTAAAACACTGAAAAAAACAACCCTCAAATGACTTTTGTTGGATTTTGCCCCTCCCTTAAACCCCTGCTGATTGTTATTCATTCCTTTGTTCTTTACTCTTTATCTTCTTCCTCTCCTATGCGAGTCCCACATTGATTCTCTTCTAAAGATTTCCACTGGTCTGCAGTGGACTTTCAAGAGCTTGTTGACAGTTGTAGACCTCAGTCCTCCAGAGGGAACTGGGTGTGCTGTGGTATTGTTGCAATGCTGAGGGTTTCGGAGGAGCTCTGCATAATTACTCCGTTGTCTAATTAGCGAGAGCGTTGTGTACACGCTGTTCACAGGCTGATGGGACAGTCAGACAAGTACAAGATATGTAGAAAGAGAGTCATCAGTGTGTGGTCACGTGTGTTTGTGGATGCTTCTGTGTATATGTGAGTGTTAATGAGCGTGCACGAGGTTGGAGTTCAGCATCTCATTTAGCATCAAGATGAGAGGGACTGAGAGGAGCTGTCTAATCCTCCTGATGTGACGTCCCGGCCTAATTGGGATATTTACTTGGTAATTAGCAGGTGAGAGAGAGACAGTGGGAATGTAATTGGGAATCTCAATGACAAGACACATTATCCAGGCAGTCAGCTCCCAGGCTCCATCCTTACTGCAGCCCATTAACTGCACCCTGGGACAGAAGAGGAGAAAGAAAAAGCTGAGGGGAAAAAAAGTAGAAAAAAGGGCTGGAAGGAGCGCTGCAAATGCCTCCAAGTCTAGAAATACGTATAAAAGACTCATTTTTCAGGTTCCATTGAAGTGGCACTGTGTCATTTCAAAAAAGGGAAATGGCATTTATTATTCCCTCGTATTATTGCTTCACAGAAAATCTATTAATCTCTGTCAGTTGGATCATTGTCTTCACATCTGTCCATCACTGGTACTGAATAAGCAGCGTGTTTGATGGCTTTGATGGAATGCAGTACCCATGGGGAGGCTTCACAGTCCAGCCTTTGGATGGTGTGATGTCTGGCCAGGTTCCACTGAGAAGGTTTCAGCTCTGTCATATGAAAGACTTCACCCTTGTGATTCCATGTTTCAAATAAGACCATGGCCAGCGACTAAAGAACAGAACACAGCCTCAGCTTTGTTTCCCCCGAGAGTCACAGTCTGTGGCTGGTGCCTCTGCTGTGGGCTCATGGAAGAAAAAGCTTTTTGCAGATGAATAACTACATACTGTTTTATTCTTTTTCTCCCTGTTTCTGCCTTTTTTCAGAAAGTGTCCCAGTACACCATCATTGTGCAAGCCACGGACATGGAGGGCAACCTTAACTTTGGCCTGTCCAACACAGCCACTGCCATCATCACTGTCACAGACATCAATGACAACCCACCAATGCTGACCTCCAGAACTGTAAGTTATTACAAATACAGAAGAGTGGAGACTGTAACGATTCAGAGGGAAAAAAAATAAGAGCTTGGTTCAAAGAAAGAATGACTAGAATGCCAGAGGAAAGGAAATGGAAAAATAGAATTTAAAGCCAGGCAGCGTAAAGCGAAAAATGAAAAAAATAATTATGTTTCGTCTCTGTTTTATTTATATGTCAACATTTCAAAATAAAACCTCATCTCAGTGCATTTTACATAGAAGGAAACTCAACAATTGGCTTTGAGCGAGCCCACGCCGCCAACACGACAACAGAACGTCTAACCTTTTGCTATTGTGTACTGCTGTAAGACAAGATTTCTACAATACAGTGATGGAAATGTGTAATCTGTAGGATACACACAGAATAACACACACAAGGATTACAAATCCATATTATTGACTTTCATCAGCAAGAATACCAGTTCCAGCAAATAGTTAATGATCACTGCCATCTAAGGGATATTTAGAATGATGATTGCATTATAGCAAGTCAATACGAGGAGCAAAGTAAAAATTAAAAGTCGAACATAATGCATTTTATGTAATGTGATAAATCAGTATTAAGACAGGAAATTTCCCTTTTGCCTCAGTCTTTCTTTGAGTATCTGTCAGTTGTTCTGAAATTTGAGATGTCAAAAAGATGGTTGAATTTCGAGCCAGTTTTCCTGTGCTCCAAGTCGTGATGAAATTTTTTTTACTGAAGTCAGTATTGCTCCAGGTGTTGAGATCACTCATGATGTGTAACAGCGAGAACAATAGACTGGTAGAAAGAGTCTTGTGCTCGTAGCACCAGGATTTTAGGTGCTATCACCGGCAAAGTAGTTGTTCAACACTTTCAGCTGGTGTGACCTATGTGTGCCTGGTGGCTTCTCTTTGTGTGGAAATAAAAAACCAAGAGCTGTTTAGGCTGTGGTACCGGCCTATTTTAAATCTGCATTTACAGAACGCATACATATAGACTCTGGTGGGAAATTGTGCTCCTTCTGCAAAGAGGAGCCTTGATGTTTTCTAAGAATAATTTCCCCGCCACTTTTTCACATCAGCAAAACAGAACGTCAAAACTACCATGAACTCTAGAAATGTTGTTCAAATGGAAAACGAAACATATAAACACACTCCACAAGTACAATAATCATCTTTATTTATTAGACATGGCAGAGACATGTTATCTTAGCAGCAATCCTCATAGCTGTGAGGATCACCCATAATACATTACTTTCTAACAGTAAATGCAGTTCAACTTTTGACTAGCAGATAGTGGATTTTAACAGGATTGATCCTGAACCATTTCAATTATGTTACATTAGCAATGAAAAAAATGAGCATTAGCATTCACCCTGGGGGCTATCAAGACTCTTATGATGATTAGTTAGCGTCAGTGAAAAAACTACACACATTTGTTAGCCATAAAACTAATCAGGGACCCCCTTCTGCATTCTGCACACATGCAGGGGAATATAAAAAAAGAGGAAGAGAAAAAATGGTGAGCAAAAAAATAATAATAAGTGAGAACTAATGAGTGGACGATTATTTAGGCTCTACAAAGAAGAATGGGAGAAAAAGAAAAGTAATGAGAGAATGACAGCAAGACAAGAAAAGATGGGGGAGCATTTAAACGCAGGAGCAATTTCCTACAGTAGCAGTGATAAAGTGTAGACATGCCTTGTTGTAAATCAGAAGTCCTCCGTGACTGTGCACCACACCCCTCCTCCTTCTGCATTAGGATTCTCAACTGATATTGATGATAGCAGGCAATAATAGATAGATACTCTCTAACTGGATTCCACCTAGTTTAAGTGCATTTCCATCAGCGTCACGCGAGGAAGTTAATGCTTTCACGAATATTGATGGTAAACTTTAGTGGAAGTTTTGGATTCACGGCGAGCAGAGCACTTTCGCACGAGCCCATCATAAATCATCCATTTTGGAAGGGAGATAACGTAAAAGCCATTTTGTTGAGATTGCAGGCCATTATGCAAATATTTAGTTTTCGCAATAAACCCCATAGATCTTTCAACGTGTCCCAGAAATATAAAGTTGGGGGAATTTGTCTTTATTGTTGGTGATTAATATTTCATCACTCCTATCAGAGGCTGGCCTATTTTTCAAGCAGGCAAAGAGTTGATGTGTGTGTGTGGATCTGAAGACTTTGGGTGCTTCTTGGACATTGCCTATGATGCAAACAGATTAAATAAAATGAAAACAAAAAACACATTTTTTTCTTGTTTATGCTTACTCTGCTGCATCCATGTTTCCAGTATGTTATTAAGCTCAGGTGATCTACAGTCTTTCTGTTCGGGTTTGTCTGCAAAGGATTCATTGCACAGGTTTCTTGGCCTCCTGCCTGTATCATCCTCGCAAAGTTCACATGATGAAGTTCCCTGTCACTTTTCTGTTCTCTTTCTACCTCACTTTGCCTCCTGCAGCCTCTCCCCACTGCCAACATAGTGACAAAGGAGCGAGGGTGCTGGCAAGAGGTGTTATGTCAAGTGTTGAGAAAAAGCCAACTGTCCTCATTGCCAATCACAATCAAAGAGATCCCACTTCTTCTGTGTAGTCCAGCTCTTGGCGACAAGATCCGTTATCGCATAGAGAAAAACTGGCTGATCATAGATTTGACTCCTTACTTACAGGACACTTTTCCAACAATCCTGCTCTGAAACAATCACAGACTGCAGTACTTTGCCAGAACCATAAAAGACAAAGCCTTGTCCATTGAACAAATAACTGGTGCACCTTTACAATTCATATATAAAAACTGTTTAGTGTTTATTCATGCACCATTTTGGTTCAGTACCCATAATTACAAAATCACAAACTAACACATTTTGCTTACAGTAAGTCACAATTATGTTTTCAGGTAAGATCCCCTCCTGAAATTCAGCAGATCTCTATCTGTTAATAACAATACATGTAACTATAATGAATATATGTAGCACAAAAAGTAATGAAATGTGTGTTTCGTAGATTATTTCTTTGTTGTACTGTAACAGTGGTTCTTGGCAATAAATCTTACCTAGCGTTCACATGAGTCATTAAGATTTAATGCAATAAATCTTACATTGTTGCAAAACCTGTTAATTTCCCTTTTAAATGGTGCCAAATTTATGAGGAACGTGCATTTAAGATTAGAGCAGTAGAGCTGAGTATGTGGCTTGTGCACATGAAAAAATTTGCCAAATCTTCTCTGCCAAACAGTTTATTTTGTTTTTGCTATTGACACTTGTTTTGAAGTTCTGGTAAGTGCTGCCATTCAGGTGCCTGGTTTAAGTTTTATTGGCGATTCTTTGAGAAAACGTGTGCGTGTAATTTTAAAATGAATGTAGCATATTAGGTTGTCTAAGTGGGGAAAATAAATTGCTAAAACTGGCAACTCATCCAACTCCTCCTTTCAGGGAAGAGAAAATAAAACAAGAAGTCTTTTAAACCAATATTGAACATCAGAGTTGTGGCGGCTCCTTTAACGCCTTCCATCATAACTGGTTAACGCCTGGACTTATTGTTAATAGCTGAGAAAAAAGAAGCTCAAGGGTTCCTAGGGGAACTTAAGCTCATTCTCTGAAGTTTATATATATATATATATATATATAGTATATTATTAAATTGACATTGGGGAGTCCCTGAGCCAAATCACAGTAACAAACCACACAGGCACACATATACAAATACTCAGTGTGACAATAACATACAACAGCCTGCCTACTTATCCAAAGCAGACAGTGCATCAAGACCACCCGGACTTGTCTGTTGTCTTAAGAATGTCATTGAGTCTCTGAACAGCTCTCCTGACGCAGCCCTCTAATCTGTACGGTGCTGTCGGCTGTTTGCTGCTTGATGTGAGGGGTTGCCAGGCAGAGTATTATGGTCCATCGGAGTGTTTGGTCTGTGGCTTTGCTCTTTGATATCATACACCCACATAAGAGGCTCAGTGGCTCATCCACGCCTGTTACCCACAGTGGTTATGATAACTACATGGTGCTACACGGCTGCTGTTTCCAATGAGTTTAACGCATGTCACGACCTTGTGTCACCGGACTTGTTATATTGTTTATGTAGGTGGGGTTGCAGTCAACTTGTGTTTCACATGGTTGGTGGCAGAGTCGGTGTCAATTAACCCCTGAGCCTGTGCAGACAGACAACAACCTCTCCCCATAACAGACATATGACAGACAGCAGCTCACTCCTCAACAGGCTTATCAGGACAAAGCACATGTGTTTGTAAATCATGGGAACAACTCAGAAGTACTTAGATACACTGAAACAGCTTCTTTAATCCTTCACACTGCTGGGTTTTTTTCTGTTCAAACGTTTTTTCTTCCCTCCTTACTTTTGATTTTAAAAGGAATGAAATAGTACTTCTCATTAGGGATGGGTACAAATAATGCAGAGAACATTTTAACTAAAACAATGCCCCTGTAGTGTGTCCTGGTGTGCAATCCGGGTTTACTGCTTACTTAGGATTCAGCTGTGGTTTGAGCTCAGTTGCTCCACCTGGGAAGTTTGAAAAGATGACTTTTTTCTAAATCGAAGAGCTAAATTGATTTGAAAAAGACTTCAGGCAGTGTAACAATAAAGATATTTCGAAAGGATAGTATTCAAGTAACCTTTACCCCACTTTTTGCAGTTTTCCGGTGAAGTCCCAGAGAACCAAGTGGATGTTGCTGTGGCTAATCTGACAGTTATTGATGCCGACCAGCCCCACTCTCCGAACTGGAACGCCATCTACAGGATCATCAGCGGAGACCCAAATGGGCACTTCACCATCCGCACTGATCCCGTCACCAATGACGGCATGGTCACTGTGGTGAAGGTAACATACCATCCTTTCATAACATTCTCAGATTTTTGGCCTCACGAAGGTCACTGCAGAAGGAAATCTCATCTCCTTTTCTTATGCTGAACGTTATATTCCCTCTGGATTCAGGTGCATGCTATAATAGGCTACATGGTTAAATGAGGACGGGTTGGGGTCTTTGCCTTTCACATGCCCCCTCATGTCCAAAAGAAGGATTGGAGGCTAATGTGCCCTTCAGAAACAGCTCATGCACTCAAACACAGACTTAAAACAAAGGCTGGTGAGGCCACTGTAGCAAATTAGATATTGATTTCTCAATTACGATGGCAATGGTTTTGTACACTCATAATGTTCTAGGTGCTGTGGTAAATGACAGCAACAACAAAGCCATGTCTAGTTACAACCTGCTATTTTAGTGGTTAGACCTCTCAGAGGAAGGTTAGGCACATGGTTTAAACCATTTTTCTGAGCAATAAATAAGTGTAAAGGAGATTAGGATTCTGGCTGTGTGTACCATAGATGTGCATCCTGTTGTACACCCTTGGCTATTTGTGTGTTCTTCTGTGAGACATTTGGTGTAGATGTTCTTACCATGTTGCAAGCTTTCTGCTTAAATTACTTATTTATTAGAGTGACCTTCTGAACCCGGGGACTTTTTCCTCATATATCTACCTCCAGCAAATCACATATCACAATAATGTTAAACAATAGCAATAACACGTCATTATAATTCCCTCTGCAGCATGAGCAGTGAGCACGAGTATTTTGTTTCTCTTCATTATCTCTAGATGACTGACTTTAATAATCCATTCCTCTCACTCCCTGTGAAATTCAGTAGGCAGCTGGGTTGCTTAAGCTTGCATTGAGACCCATGGGAGGTTATCAGGAAATCATAAAATAAGAGACAAGCCACCCCCTGAGAGGAAATAAGCAATGCACTGTCTCAACAAATAAACAGAGGGGGCTCCGGCTCGCTTGGGGAAAAGTGAGCCCAAACATTCACATTGGACAACTTGTGAAAAATAAAGGGAAGAAGCCATGAAACGGCTCTGCCTGGTTGTTGTTATTTTTGCCAAGGCGTCCACGGCCGTTTGTACAGACGCATCCAATCGCATTGACATCCAGGTACGCATCAGTCTTCTGCCAGGACCTTGAGCCTTTGTGTAAACAAGGCATGAGGTCTTAACCAGAACATGTCACGCATTTATGCTGCTGTCTGGAGAGTTTAAGAGGCAGATTTTGTTTTTCCTTTTGCCTTGTGATAATAGAGCCTGTAGACAAACTAACACACATACAAACACACAACTAGAGCCACTTGGTTTAAATGAGTCATTAAGATATGTAAATCACAGATTATGTTAAACACAGAAGTTGACAGGGGGAAAGGAGAGAGAAGAGGGAGGAGTGAGGCGAAGGCAGATTTCCAAGGATTGAGAAATGTAGCCCACAGAGAGCTTAGATCACAGAGAGCTGAGGTAGGGCAGAGGTGAGATGCCGAGAGGGTGGGAAGTTGGAAGTCCAACAGAGCAAATTATGTAAAAGGGAAGGAGAGAAATGGGTAAAGTGGTACAGAGGAGATGTAAGATGGGATGGCTCATGGGCAAAAGATGGAAGCCATGTTATTGACCTCTCACCCCTGTGGCTTCCCTCAGGCTGTGTGAGTCTGAGCGAGTGTCTGTGTTTCAGTTAGCCTTCAGCTATACTCTGGACCTCCTGATGCTCTGAATACCACAGGCTTTAGATCAAAGAGCCACGAGCGTGGTTAGCCTGTAAATGGGTTCCCGATGCGCACTAGGGTCACACACGAATATGCACTTGTTTGCTAACATTAACCAACATGCATGTGCCGCTATTACACATCTAACACACACACAAACGGTTTCACTGCTGGGCCACGTGGTCAGCCAATCTCCCTGATTAACGATGCTTTTCATGTGCTCTCAGAGTTCCCACTGATAACAGTGAGGCGATGCAACATGCAGATGTGCTCAGAGTCTTTAACATCATCATCAAACACAAGCTTTGCAGCGGTAATCATCATCCGGCTGTTTAGAAATGTGCCAGCAGTGCTTACAAGCAGCATATTTGTTCTCTTTTTATGACTTTGCTCATTGTTGTCATTTGAACCTGATGGTGTTGTTGTCATTAGGAGAGAACAAAATTGTCACTCTGGTTTAAACTCAGTTGCGGCACAGAAACGTACTCAGACAGCAGAGCCATGGCAACAACCTGTGATTAGACTCAGCTCCTTATTTCCTACATGTGTGTGTTGGTTCATAATGGGACCACTTGAGGTGACATCTGCTCATTTATCGAATCAATCAGCCAGGCACTGGCAAAAAGACAAATGTTCGTTAGGATTTCTATTTTAAAATCAACATGTTTATAGTAAACACACTGCGCTTGATCACTTGACATGATTTGCTCTGAAAGGCTTGGATTGAAAATAATGACAGTAATGCTACTAATAATGAAAAACTATGACAAGATTGGATTGCTTTATTTTATTTTGTAGTACTTTGTTAGATAAGATCCTCCCTAGTAAAACTCAGACTTTTTTATGCTTCATAATTATTTAGTTTTTTGAATGTAGCAAGAATATGTGTCAAGTTACTGAAAATATGTACCACAGCATTAGATCTTATTTTGCATAAAGAACAGAATAAATAGAACCCTGCTTCATACACTTAATCATAGTCACTTTTATTATTTCTTTTTATTTTCTTATGTATGTTTTGATTTAAATTTCAGTCCATTTACGTCTAAAGTTATTTCAGGGCACTGTACATCATAAAATACCAATTAGTAAAAGTTATGTATAGAGATTGTACACATAGGTGTAAAAATATCTGCTGGACAACAATATCATGCACACAGGGTAAAGAAGCAAGAGAATACCTGAAGGGCTTTAACTTTCTCTACTTTCAAAACCATCCTAAATAATTTCTTTCCTTCTCCAGCCAGTAGACTTTGAGATGAACCGCGGCTTCATGCTGACAGTGGTGGTGTCAAACCAGGCCCACCTGGCCAGCGGCATCCAGTCCTCGCTTCAGTCCACCGCTGGAGTCACCATATCTGTGCAAGATGTCAACGAGCCTCCCTATTTCCCTACAAACCCTAAACACATCCGCTTCGAGGAGGGCGTTCCTGCCGGCACCAGCCTGACAACTTTCTCAGCTTCGGATCCTGACCGGCTTCAGATGCAACAGTTAATCAGGTACTGAGTGAACACCCAATGTTAGAACAATATGCTTGTTGCAGAACTTCATATGTTTTTTTTTAAATTTTTTTTACCTATTTAACTTCAAGGCATTAACTCATTTGATTAAGGCTGAAAGTCTCTCCAGCTGTTCTCCAAATACAAGCCAAAATAACCTTCTGTGCACCAGCAGTGACATAAAAAAACTCCTGGATAGGTTTCATGTCAGTAGTCAGGGGTCAGAGTGCAACTAAGAGACTATATATATTGGTTTTACCCATTTGTCAAAGTCTTATTGTGTGAAGTTTCAGAGCCAGTGGAGAATTATGAGTAAGGAGAGTAGAGAGGTTAATAGGGCAGAATAGCTTCTGTGGTAAGCAGAAGTGTGTGCATTCTGTTAGTAGCAGAAGCACAAGAATACATTCAGGCACACACGCAACAAGAGAGAAAAGAACAGAGCAGACGGAGTGAAGATGAGGAGGGAAAGAGAACAGCTGGCCCCGGCCCAAGCACCTGACACTGCATTCTACCCACCTGCAGTTTGCTTTGTCGGCACTAAGCTTTTCTGGACTTTGAATTAAAACTACCCTTAAAATGTCCCATTGGCCTTTTCTCAAGCCAGTTGTCAGTATTGTCGGTAGTGGGGACTGCTCTATGGCCCTTACAGAAGGAGGTAATTGTTAGCATTACTTTAAGGTAACTTGAAAAGCCTTCAGATCTCATGAGTTTCCATGTGCATTTACTGTATGTGCATTTAAATAATAGTAAGTCTATAGGCATATTTTATACCAGGGATAAAAATATGCAACTGAGATGGTATCACGGATGTTTAGACTGGGATTAATGCCACCACCTTCTAACCATCGCACACAACATTGCGTTTGCCTTCCAATTTTTTCGGGGGGACCAGATCGAAACAAATTTCCCAGCTAATTTCACAGCAAATGAGAGTAAATTGGGTGTACATTAGAGTTTAGGAAGACTCGAAAGACAACAGCTGGGCTTTCTCTCGTTCTCTGTGACGTTTTGCTGTCGCCTTTTTGTTTCACTCTCTATTGAATTTACTTTGAAGTGGTCAGTTTGCTTTGTGTTTTTTGTATGACGTGTCTAAGATTGCAGTGGTGGACTCGTGGGAATCAGTTTAGCCTTTTAGCATACGGTGTTCTAACACAGTCACATAAATATGACCAACAACCTTGTATTCTTTTGTCTCGTTTTAAAGAGGGTGTGTTATGAGATTTCCAGCCACATAGTTCAATCCTATACCACAATCAAGTAACTATGTTACCTTCAGTTGTTATGAAATGCTTTATATATCAAAAATAATTCAGACTTCAAATCTAAATGCCTTGAAATTGGCCTGTGTCTTTTGCATAATATCACCTGTCCTTTAAAGAGGAGTCAAGGGAGTGTATTATACAAAATCAACTTTTTTGAGTTTTATACCATGTTATAATATCCTTCTCAGAGTGCTGCTTTGACTTATTCATTCCTGTTTGATAAATCCTTGAATATCCTGTGGTAGCCATGTGGAGCTGCCTAAACGCTTGCTGGTACAAAGCACCGCCTATTTGCACAAAGCTCCTCCCTGGAGCTCAGTCTACAGCTCAGTCCCCCAAAGCATTGTTGTGAAGACATGCTGAAGTGGTAGTTTCAGAAATGGTAGGAGGTACTTAAAGAGAACTATACCTCTGGAAAATGCATAATAACTCCCCTTTAACAAATTAGCAAAGGGCTAAAAATGCAAATCTGACATTTGATCACTTTTGGTCTATTTGTAAATGATCACTAAGAATCCTACTGCTTTGTGCCAGCTCTATTGTCTTTAAGCTGTTATAAAAAGACATTAATGTCCACAGCTATTTGGGGTGGCTGTGGTGTAGTGGTAGAGCAGCCGGCTTTGGGACCCGCAAGTCACAGGTTCAACTCCCCGCCATGCCTACATGCCGTTGTGTCCTTGGGCAAGACACTTCACCCACCTTGCCTATTGATGGTGGTCAGAGGGGCCGGTGGCGCAGCATGGCAGCCCCGCCTCTGTCAGTCTGCCCCAGGGCAGCTGTGGCTACAATGTAGCTTACTGCCATCAGTGTGTGAATGTGAGTGTGAATGAATGATGCATGAAAATTGTAAATCGTCTTTGAGGGTCTCGAAAAGCGCTATATAAAACTAATGCATTATTATTATTATTAGCATGTTACATTTGGGGGATATCATTTTTGTCAAATCTCCTAAATATGAGCATTGCTGTTGTGTTTTATGTGTCCTTTTTAAATTAATGGATGCTGCTGAAAACTTATGAATATTGTAAATTACCACAAATGTGGGAAAAAGCTAATAAACCATAACTTACAATTTTGTAATAATAACAGCTTCACCAAACATCACCTAATAGTATCTACATTTGTTGGGTGTTTGAGCCTTATATTGTCTCTATTCAGGGAATTTGCACATTTAACTGATGGCTCATGTTTTTGCATGCAAGTTTTCACCAATCGATGGTGGTGACACAGCAGGAGAGGCAAGATCAGGCCAAAATTTACAGGAAGTTTTTCCGAGTTAAAAGTAAGGAGGGAGGGGGGTTAAAAGCCTAAGGGACCGTGAAGTAAAGGAAGCAGGTGGCAGAAACGAGAGCTGAGGATTGTGAGCTGACTGCAGGTCAAGGTTTGAGCCTGACAGGTGCTTATCAAAGACAGGACAGACTCGAAGTGCCCTGTTGTGATTTGGCTGACATGTTCTGGAAGAAGAGAGGGGGAGGGAGACGAGGGCATCGTACATCACCTGTCAGACACCCAACCAGTAAGGTCGAAACATGGGGCTGGAGACACTAGCATAAATGATTACCCAAACCGCCTTTGCTAAGCTTGAGACATGCATTTTTCATCCTCAGGGTCGGGGGTTTGAAAAATAAATGTCATAGCTCTCCCCGCTGCTTGCTAAGATCACTAACCTGCCAGGCCTAATCATACATCCAGCTGTACTCACACACCCACCAAATCCCAAATGAGAGAAGCCTTCTGGAGGAAGAAAGATTGAAAAGCATTGGAAATAAGGCATAAGAAGAGATAGCGAAAGTTTCACAGTAGGTTGCACATATTAACCAAAGTTTTGATTTGGAAAATGCACTGAAGAAAACAAAGACTGTTTATCTTCCTGAAATATATTGACAGAGCACTTAAGAAAAGATGAAATTATAGAAACTGCCAATTGCTCCCAGGGTGGTTGTTTACAGCTGCAACAGGTAACCAATAAAACAGCGTGTGCCTTTGCAGGAATTGCACTGTTGTTCAGAGCCCAGTTGTTTACCCATAGACTATCAGAAAATTAAACAAAATGGAAATCAGAATACCTAAATTAAAAGCAACTTTGGGTTTTTTTAAGTTTCAGTTGAAAGTTTGTTCAATTCTAACTTACCTGAAGTCTCAGAAGAGTCAAATGTGTCTCACAGACTTACCCAACTATTGAGGTGGAACATACACAGCCAAGACGGTTCCTTTTAGAAAACAACATAGCTTTGTGATTTGTGTTGGACACTTGGTCCAATAAATCAAGGAGCTCTCAGACCTTAATGTGAGGGAGAGCAGATCAGACCAGACTAGATCCGACACTCCATAGGCTTCAACACAGGAGAGCCAGCTGGTCCAGACTCAACCATCCTTGAACAAAGGAATTCCCTGCTTTTAACCCACAAAATAAAATCAGGAAAAACTTGTGACCACATATTGTTGAAGTGAACAAACACCACTATTAAGGCATTTAACAAGCAGTCTTGTCAGCTATCATACTTTTTCTCTTATTTAATGCTGCTCTAAGGGATATTGTACAGATGTAGTAACGTAAAGTTTATGGACAGAGAATACATACTTATGGTTTGTGTGGAGTTTAACAAGATTTGTGAGTTCACTCAGTCTGTGATATCTAATAGGAAAAGTAAAGTTTATCTGGATATTAAACAAAAATAGCTGTCTCAAAAAATGGCTGATGGCCTACAACAGCACCTGTCATTTTTTTAAACATAAATAAGTTATTTGTGTTGTGCATCCATTTGCTTTTAAATACATGTGATCCTGGCAGCACATTTTCTGGCTTGATGACACCCTATTGAGTTTAATGTCTTGCTAATTACATTTAATCACATTAAATGTCTGAGACTATAATTTCTTAATTATTTGAATTATTAGGATCAATAGGATCCACCATTGGTTCATTTTCTGTGCTTGTTTAATCCAATCAGAATCACAAGGAGCTTGAGTAGTTAACAGGTGACAGGTGAGATACACACTGGACATGTCCCCAGTCCATCACAGGTCCAACACAGAGAAACCTTTCCATTCAACCACTTACAGTAGGTTACATTCTTTCATGTTGTAGGATAAAGGCCCAAACCAGGATTCAAACTGAAGCTCTTCTGGATGTGAGATATCTGCAGCACCACCATGTAGTCCTTGGCAGAAAATTCCACCTTGGATTTTTCTTTAACTAACGATGCAGTGGACTGCCCATGCATTGTGTTAAAAATGAGCCCAGATTAAGCCTGTTCATACAGGACTTAATTTGGCCTAATAGAGTTTAATACATTTGCATTGAGGGCAGTTTAAGGAACTTAATTAAAAGTGTGGTGAAGAGCAGAGGCCTCTGCTTTGTGACCAAACCTTAGTGTGATGGATTTTATTATCTAAAAATGTAAACACCCACTTGTGCCCAGGAAAAAACGAGGAAAAAAGGGTGCCTCTGGCATTTTGATGGCCATTTAGAAAAGCTTAATAAATAAATAATGGCTCACACAACCGTTTCTCAACTTTCATATTCAGTTTTCATCTCAACTATAAAAGGATCAGTTCATCAAAATTTCCCACATTAACCTCAGAGGTTTTAGCTGCACACCTAACACAGAGCACATTAATATGGTTTTGTTGTGGAGGGGAGGGGGACTTAAGCGAAAAAAGTTGTAGATAATTTCCATCCATCATCCATCCATCCATCCATCCATCCATCCATCCATCCATCCATCCAATATTTTGTTAAATTATTTAAGTGAACTTACTAAAAACATTTTTGTTTCTGTTCAGCACCTACATGTTTTGTTTTAAGGCATACTGAAAACAATGTTTCATCGTAGAACCTCTATTCTTTACTATGTGCATAAACTAGATAATAAATACAGCAAAAATAAATCAGTGTTTGGTTTATTGGAATTAGTGGATATTTCTTGGTTTGCGGGTGTGAATTTTCAGACCAATCCATCTCACAAACCTTACACAACAGTAGGAGTTAACTAGAAGAAAATGTTTGAGTCCAAATGTTTTTGTTTAAAATGAAGAAAAATGGTGTGTGCCTCAACATGTACACAGTATTTAAATTTTTGATTGAGACAGACTGTCTTAATTTTACTCTCAGGGAGACTTCAGTCTTATGAGATCAGATAAAGAAAAATAATCACAAATTAGTGTGAGGCCACAATGCAGAAGCAGAGCAGATTGATAAATTAGTTGTCTCTGCAGGCGGTCTACTATCCTCACACTGATGTAGTGACACACACACAGCCAGTTATTTTTAATAATGACCAAAGCAGTCTCACAAGACTGGCAACAAATTGTGGCAATTTGTAGACTAAGAATCACTGAGGATCACATATGGGTAATTTAACAACACAGACACCACTGCAACGACATAATAGACCATAAAAATGACAATAACCATTCTCACTGTGTTAAAAATGTTGGAATGATACTGTTTGACTGATGAAAATGAAACAATTCTGGCCCAGTTTACAAAATAAACTTCTAATTTTACATAAATGTATTATTTGTATGGATGAATTTCAAGCTTGAAACTTCTCTTTACAAATGTCTATAGTTTCAGCACCATGGACAGCGTATGTGAACTAAATCGTTTAGACATAAAGGTCTAAAACACTGTAATCACAATATTTAAAGCAATTTTAATCTTTACTAATAATCATTATCATTTCACCCTTTAATGTCTTTTCTTCCATTCTGAACAAGACATAAAACTGCTAGTCTAGATCGAATATTCAACTTTTCTGATAACATTTAGGATTTTTGACAACTTCATTCAAAAACTTCACAAATAAATTCAACTTAAAGGCAAAGTTACTGTGATGTAACAAAGAAAAACCTTTTAAAATATTAAAGAGCATTGCATTTAAAGTCACCGTAAATGTCAGACATGCACATTCTTGTAAGTTGATTGCAAGTTGTTTTACCATAGGTATACATTTAACATTATTGAAAAAAAAATCATTGCATTTAGGTTTTTAGGATCCTGTGCATTGTTTAGCATGTTTAGTTTGAAATTCTTTGTACACCTGTCTCTTAAATTATCTTTGCTTAGATTTCAAAACCATTTTGCCCTCCAAGGCTGAACTAATAGAAATGTTTTAAACTTAATAGCAGATAGTTTTAAGTCAATCCCAGCTAAAATTTTAGCATTTGAGCTCTTTTTTTTACCGTTCTTAATAATTTTCTTCACCCTTTTATCTCACCCACCTACTGTTATCGACTCACTGTGGTGGAGATTTCACAGTCTGCCAGTCAGCGGCTGTGGGCCTGTTCAGCTTGCGTCTTGAGTGTGGGAATGTCATTGCCATGATCCCTTTCCTCACACTGCAGTATGCCTGGGATCAGGCCCGCTGCCTGCTGGGAAAATCCCACCTCCTGCACTGCAGGGGAGAGGTTTTAGCTCTTGCTCTTTAACCCACTTGATTTGATTTTATTCTCGGCTCTATAAGTTGGATTGTATGTATTTGAAACACGTTCAAAGACAAATAAGGAACAGGTCGAGTACAAATCAGAGAACATAAAAGCTACAAAATAGGGTCAGAAACATTTCAATGAGGATGGATTTAAAACCTGAGGGTATGTGACACCCACAGTAAAAGAAAAATGGCCTATTTGCTCAAACTGACTCTCAGTAAATGAAATCAAAATGATGCAGAAACCTTTGTTGTGTAAGGCTGAAGTGCCACGTGTCCACAGATGATGTTTCATATGCGAGAGTGAGATTGCCAACAGGAGAGGTGGCGGCTAGTGAACCCTGTATCACCGAACGGATGAGACACGGGTGAGAGGATACACACAGGGATAAGAAAACATATGAATACCAAGCATGGCGAGATGAGGTGAGGCGACACGAGTTGAGAGAGATCAGATATAACTGCAAGCACGGAATAAAGCGAAAACGACAAAAGCCGAAGAAAACCAGAACCGTTAGATCCGTTGAAGATTGGGATTCAATCCCGGAGATGATCCCTTGTTCCTTTCCTGCTCTTTATCCCAGTGGATTGTCGCCACCTGCTACCACATCGACTTTCCTGTTGATTGATCTGAACCAGCAGCGCTATTATCTAGTCTCCATTCATACACAGGCACATTTGCAAACACGTGCACACTAAACATGCATGTACTGTATACCTCCCATTCAGATAGTTTAGGTCTTTTCCATTTTTAAGCAAACACTTCTGAGAAAAACCTGCTTGTAAAAAACACACACAGGCAGTTAAAGCAGTGCTTTAGCGTGAAGGTAATTGACTTCATCAGTTGGTACACGGGAGTGAAATATGAGGTGAAATTCACTGTAGGATTCTGGCTCTGGAGAAGAAGTCAATAAAAAATTAAACTGTTGGAAGGTCAGGCAATTGTGAGTTTTTATGTGTGTGCATTAGAAAAATATGTAGGCACACAGACACATAATTGCTTGTAGATACTAAAATGCCATTGTTCGTTTTTTTTCATCGATTTGTCTGTGTGTCTTCAGGTATTCCAAGTTGAATGACCCTGCTGACTGGTTGTCCATCAACAGAACCAATGGTCAGATTGTAACCACAGCAGTGCTGGACCGGGAATCTGTCTACGTCAAAAACAATATTTATGAAGCAACATTTCTGGCTACAGACAATGGTAAGAACCTGTTAATATTTTTTATCTCTTCATATCCTAACAATGCCATACTAATGAATTTACAGCTAAAAAAAAATATCCAAATTATAATTGAGCATTCTGTTACTGTAACTAATGCATTTTTGGGAGTAAAGCCAGGTTCACACTGGACGTGTTTTGAGCAGCCGAAGCAGCCAGTTTACATGCTAAGTCTACGGTGGATGCGCGTCTAGGAGCAGCGCGGCACGTTCAGCCCATTTAGCATGGCGCGTAAGGTATCGGTAGGTGCGGTAGAGCATTTTCTGTGCATGCAGCACGTTCAAAGCAGCAACTGCTCAAGTAAAAAAAAACGGAACTTTTGCTGCTCGACTCACCGCGAGTCAATCAGAGACACTAATTTGTCCATGTGACGGTTTCCTGAATGTTGCCCACTGACCTGAAACAGACGGACAGGACATCTTTAGTTGAAATCGACCATCTGCAGTTGGTGTTCTGGTTGGAGATATCAGCACCGATGCGGGTCAGCAGCTCATTAAACTGACCGCGGTGTTAAACAGGGCTCGGGACAAAAAAAGGTTTGTGGAGTGGTGAAACTCACAAAACAGACCGCCGCTGTGTGCACATTTGCTTACTCTTAGTAAATAAAGCAAAGCCGTTTTCTTTATTTTATCTTTTTTTCATCTGCCATTAAAGACAGACCGGGAAAAAAAAACAAGATGTTCCTCCCTTTTCAGATGTGCATCTAGTCTGTGTCCCGGTCTGAACGTAGCGCATCTAACTTGAGGCGTCTGATATAGTTTGGTATAATCTTAATATAAGTTTGGTATTATTTGTTTTTTAACAAGCATAGAAATGTTGTATGTTGATTCACATTCAGGCAAAAGTGGCTCAAATCTAAATTCTTTATCCATATCTGATTTTTATGACAGTTATGTTGTACTGAATTAGATACAAATTGAATGGCGACCTTGTAAGTTAACTATCATGACTCATTTCATTTGACTTTGCATCACTGAAGTAGGGAAATGCAGATCGACCCAAATATTGCTATAATCAATAGCAACATCATGCAGTTCCAATTGGATACAAAAAGGTTCAATGCAAATGCTGACTAAGACTCTATTAGCCTTGCAAGGCTTAATGTTTAATTCCGATTTTTTTGCTGAGATTAAATTGTTTCGCTTCGTAGTTTGCATACCTTTATTTCAGTGATGTAAAAGTAGGGCTAAAAATGCAGCATGACCATTCAGACTGTGGTCACATTGAAAAATATCAGATATTTGCACAATTTAGTGTTGAATATGAAAAATGAGCTTGATCTGATTTGAAGAAATCAACTGTGTTATGTTTAGACTGTCATAAAGATTTTAAATGTCTTTTAAAGACTTATCTTTTTGCTATGGCTTTTAACTCTAGCGAGAACATGCAGCAGGCCAGGTTTTTTGTGTTGTTGTTTTTGTTGCATGTTTTCGTATTTTTTTCTGCTTACGGAAGCATTTACTTGATTTTATCCTATTGTATTTTTTATTCTGTTGTGCAGCACTTAGGTTGCCATTGGCTGTGTAAAGTGTTATACAGATAAAGTTTTGATTGATTGATTGATTGATTGATTGATTGATTGATTGATTGATTGATTGATTGATTGATTGATTGATTGATTGATTGATTGATTGATNGATTGATTGATTGATTGATTGATTGATTGATTGATTGATTGATTGATTGATTGATTGATTGATTGATTGATTGATTGATTGATTGATTGATTGAGATCTTGGTCACATATGGGCAAAAAACATATTGGACTTGAGAAATTTTGCTTGTAGTTTCATGCCAAATATGGGCATTTAGCATCTTATCCATGTATACAAAAGCATATCAGCAAAAACCGATGACGATTTAGTTTCTTAAAGAGGTGTCCCGTTTTGTAATGGAATATTTAAACCCTACCTTTTGTGACTTCAAATTAAGGGTGATAATAGGAGTAAGGCTAACAATAGAAAAGGGAAGTTGTTCAATTACTCTAAACACTCACACTTTCAACAGCATATAAAAGCTATTGGTCTTGAATGAACACAAATTTGTCCAAACAGTTTACCAGATATGTTTAGTTTGAAACATTTAGTAGCATCTATAAACACATCTAAATTCTAAAATAACATTTTAGTTGAGTAGGTATACCAACCTAATCAAAACTCATTTAAAATAGAATCGGGGCATTCGGCATTTCAAAGCTGTGCGTCTGAGTTCGACTCAAAGAAGACCCTGAATCTAGAACCAGTCACACTGCTGGTCCTTGTTATGTTTTTATCTCCCGTCCGAGCCTGACTTCTCCTTCCCTTTCTGTAAAATTTGTGTTGCATATTCTGTTTGTTCTGCCTCAAAGTTAAAATTTAAGCTTAACCAAGCACAAACTCAATCACTGCGCACAGATAAGTCTCTCGCTTTTTTTTTTTTAGTTTGTTTTATTTTCGAGTAGGAAATGCTCCCCCACCCCCCTCTATTCCAAATGGCCTTATCAATGACACACAGAGCTCTGGTGTGTTTGCTATAACTTGAGCCAGCCTTGAAACTTTGTTGTTTTTCTAATTGTTAGCATCTGGGAGTGCTCTCATGTGCAACACTTTTATGTGTGTTTCTGTGCAGTCATTCGTGATGATTGAAAATGTCAGTTACTTGCTGCAAAAAAGAACACGGTTTATAGGCTGGCATGCTCGAGCAAACTCAACTCGTCTAATTTTTCTTCCCTTCATAGCTCCAGAGTTTCTTTATAATCATAAAAATCTTACTTTTTACAACCTCTTATTGATCTATTGACCGCTGATCTAAGCATACAATTTATTCAGCCTGTTATTATTCAGTTTGGCAGACATTGATAAAATGGTGTGTGTGTGTGTGTGTGTGTGTGTGTGTGTGTGTGTGTGTGTGTGTGTGTGGCTGTTTGTTGAATCGTGTTGTAGTTTTTCAT